GCTATAGCTTCTTCAGTGATGGATGGTGATTCTAGACGTTTTCAAGCACTTCACATTCTCAAGTATAGTAAACAGCCCAATATCCACGCTTTGTATAGTAGACTATGTTAACCATTATTGCTTTTGAGGAAATTTGATGCACCATCTTCATACTGGTCTTCAAAAATCAACTCCCTTAGAATCCTGTAAATGTCTTTCTTCCCATCACTCATTGCTTGAATCATTTGCTCTGCAGTCTCCAAATTACCAAAATTGACATAAGCTGCAACAAGAGAATGCATTGTTGTCATATATAAAGGTATCTCCTTTTCTATTATCCTCTCCAATACAAACATGAACAAATCTTTCCTTTGGAATTTAGCACAGAGCTTGATCGTGATGTCATATGTCAAAGAATCTGGCTCACATCCAAATTCTGGTATTTCGTCAAACAGTTGCAGAAAATTCTTGTTGCACCAAGATTGGCACAAGCATTTACTATATTATTGTAAGCACTTGTGTCTGGCCTCGAGTCCTTTACCATTTCAGAATCTACAAATTCACATATCCTTTTGGTCACAAATTGAATAGGGGCGTTACAGCAGTTCATGACTTAATATGGGCGAGTACCCAGACTTAAGTATGGACTTGATAATGTAGGTGGCGTAGAGGGTTTGCCTACCATTAGTAGCTGCTACCGCAAGGAGTTGAGGGAATTAGCATCCAGGTAGTGGAGCTACTGCTCTTGTCGGAGGCTTTGGATAATGGACTGGACCTTGGTGAGTCCTACGTTGGTAGTTTGATAGGATAATTGTAGACCAAACAACTTAAGCAGCGGGACAGGGGAGGTCTGCATATTGTGTGTAAATTAGCCAGGCCCCTTCAGTTTTCCTTTGTTGAAGAAGTGTGAGGAGTATTTACTCTTGGGAATTGAAAAAAAAAATTCTTGCCGGTGGCTGTAGTGAGGAAGGTGTTGGAGGGGTTGATGGTGATTTGATTCCGAAATAAAGGAGGTTTAGAGGTAGTGGTGGTAAAACCCAATGGAGAGTAGTTAATGGAAATTGTTATAGATGGATGGTGGTAGTGGTGGTGGTGGTGATGGTTTAATGTTCATGGTTTATCCATTTGGGTTAATGGAGATTCAAATTTTGAACAGGGAGGGGCTTGGAGTTGGGGAAGTGATAAGATAGATAATTTCTCAGGACGTTTGTTTGGGTTGGAGAAGGAAAGTATGACTTCATCTATATATTTCGCCCTCTTGTTGAGCATCAATGAGTAGGTGGTTTCTACCCTTTTTCTTTTGCCACTAAGAAGTTTGCATCGTTCCCACTTCTCTATTTTGTATATTTTCATCTTCATTATTGATTTAACCTATTAAAACAATTGACAGAATTCCTGATAAATTCGAAATCCCACAACTAATTGATCCACAAAATAAAAAATATAGTATCTTTTTAAGCGACCATAAAGGAAGAGAAACATTAACAATTAATTGATGTTTTGTCAGGGGTCGACCAGAGATAAAAAAGATAGATTCACAAGAATGAGTGGTTTTCAGTCACAGGCTAAAACTGCTGCTTAATCTGCTGAATTAATGTTTAGGTGCAAGAAGGCTGATTCTGCAGATGCTAAAAAAAGTGGAACATAGTTTGAAATATTTGACGAATTTGCTAAAAATGTACTTTCTTCTAAGGTTTTCATTTTCATTTTAATGACGTGTATAGTTTCTAATCTAGTCAACTTATATGGTTGAAAATTCATTTGATAAGATGCACACAAAGTTGGCTATTGTTACATAAATTAAACTGTCTGAGACACACAATGTGATGAAGAATGCTAACAGGTGTGCTAATTATTTTTCCTAATGCGTTAAAGCTTATTTCTCATAAATTGTTTTGGCTCATTCCATATTGCGTGTTCATTTTTTACTTCATTTTCTAATATTTAACTGTATAATTTTTCATTTTCGGTACTTTTTTATTCCTTTTTTCATGTGCTTATGTTAGGGATTTTGATATTATTGAGATCATTGTTTCTCTTTATTTCAATGTTGTTTGGTATTTACAGTAAATTTAATTGAATGTTTCTTACTCCAGTAAACCTGCAATCTTTATGCATGTCAAACGTTTCTATTATCATCTACATACACGTAATGCTTTCAATTTTATTTTTGGTGAGTTTCGCTGTGCAGTAATATGTGACATAATCACTATGTTAGATGGAACAGTAGCAAAGCAATAATATGCTCCCGAATAATCAAATAAATCTTAAACTACTTTTTTTTTTAATATCTATAATTTCTACATTAATAAAAACACAACAAATACAAAATTCGTGCAACGTAGGTGTCAACGACTTCTAGTTAAAAAGAAAAAAAGAAAAATGTATTCTGAAAAAAAAAAAATAAGGATCAAACGGGGCTAAATATCACATCAAGTGAAATCATTTTTGGATGATTTTAGTACTAAATTCAATTATTTCAAAATACTTTTTTTCGTTTTCCAATATGTATTTAATTTATTTGAACTATTTGAACAATATTATCATGAATTATTTTATCAACTATTTAGTCGCCATCAGTGCACATTTGACATATTCATTTCAATTGTGTGCTTTCATCGCATGAAACTTAATTATAAAATGTAATAAATACTACAAAATTCTTATTCGCGTATGAATTTCCTATCATTAATTCTCAATTAATTAGCATTCACATTCATTTAATTAATATTCATCTTCATTTATTCATTTTAGTGTTATTAGTTCTAATTATAAGTTAATTAGAATTTCACATTCAAAAATGCATTTCATTAATAACGTCCATATATGCTAACTAGTATCCAATTTTATTTAATTGGAAATTAAATTATATTCATTTAGTATAAATGATTTAACATTCATTCTCATGTATATATTCTCTGATATTAATTATAATTAATTAACATTTACGTTAATTCGTGTATCGTATTTTTTTTGACAATTTGAACAATATTTCATAAATTATTTTGCCAACTATTTAGTTATCATCAATGTATATTTGATAGATTTATTTCAATTAATGTTTGCTTTCACCACATGAAATTCAGTTACAAACCATAATAAATGCTACAAAATCGGTTGTTCATGCATATATTCTCAGTTATTAATTTTCAAATAATTAACATTCACATTCTTTGATTAGTATTAATTTTCAAATATTACTTTTACAGTACTTATAAAACATTTCAGAAAAAAAGTGCATTGCACATTCAATTCTAACTTGTAGATTGAAACATCACATAATAATTTATTACATTAAGACTTTTAATTTACCAAATCTGATACCTTTTAGTTTGTTGACTTCAAAACATTATTTCTGGCTCATCTTTTTTAGAGCTTTAAAAAGTGAAACGAACACAAACAAAAATTATAAGATAAAAAATGTTTTGTGATGTTGGAAAAAATTTAATAATCTTTAAGTAGTATTACTTTAGTTTGAAGCAATAAGATTCGTCAATGATAAACCTAGAAAAAAAAATAAGGAGAAAATTAATGTGTAAAAGTTATGTTAATTTCATTATAAAGTAGCGACACAAAGAAAATGGAGCTCTCGAGGCATGCAAAAGAGCAGTATCCAAGAAAAATATGGCTCCAATAAAAAGTAAAACCCTGACAAAATCTTCTTAGTCTATGTTTGGCTAATGCCTATAAATTATAATGGTCAAATTACTTTTATTCACATATTTCGTGACATTGACCAGTATTATCCACTTCTTTACTACTTGTTTTTATTTATTTATAGTTTAAATTATTTATATACACTTTTCGAAACAAGCTTATATTGTTATACATTTGAGCTCTGATATTCAAATTGAAGGGGGAGAAATGTAGGTGGTGTCTAATTTATTAACAAAAGAAGGAATTAGGGCCTATTTAGATGGTTCATGTCAATTGTAAGGTTTTACTTTTTGTAAATATGAAAACAAATGAAGAGTACCTAATATGTATATAGATGGATCTTTTTTCCTCTTTTTGATAAAGACGAGTGATATTGATTATGAGATCGCGCTCTCTATTAATATGAAAACAAAAGAGGAGAACTTAGAATGCATTTCGAGCCTTTTAGATATCATGTTAAATTGTGAGAACATCCTCTAAATAAATGAAAGACACCAATGAAAAAAAGAAGTTTATATCCAACTTTATTGGAATAACCAACAAAATAGACGTTTAAGCAGTTGAAGAATAATTATTTATGTCATCGACCTGATTTTTGTAGTTTTACAATCGGACATAAAGTTCGATACAATCATCCCTATTTGTTCAAGTCGAGTTTCTTAGGAACTTTTGTTTAAGTCGAGTTTTTTAGGAACTTTTATCGATAAATTAATATTTTTTCCCTTTTATCTAACTAAAATTAAATGGCGAGGAACAAATAATTCATTTAGTTGAGTCAAATCTGTTGACCTCGAACTTCAATGTTGCATGATCAATAGATCCCAACTCCTCTTCCGTCCAAATGTATGTTACATGCATATTTGGACAATCACTCATAAGGAACGTCAACCACCTCAGTGATGTCATCGAAAGTAACACTTCAACATAACTGTTGTCACATCGAAAGAGTCACTTCAAAGGGAATGTATTGCGTGCTTTGAGAGGTGGTCAACTACTTCGGATGAGGTGCCAAGCCACCTCGCCCAATAACCCATCTACCTTGGAGGGATGTGGCAGCGAGGTGGAGTGGAGACCTTGCATGACTCTTGCTTAGTCTACGAATAACTGAATGTCATGTGACGTAACTCATAGGATGAGGCTTAATGGAATTTAAAATATATTATAAATAAAGTTTGCCCCTATTTAAGCTCCATTATTTAAAAACTAATTTTTTCCTAAGCTCATTGTCAACCTCACATTCTCCCAATAAAACAATAGAAAAGTATTTCTTGTTTACAAACAATGTCATAACATACAATTATACAACAGATAAAAACACAGCAAAATATTCCATCATGAGTTCTTGACAAATTTGACAAGGATCATTATGTTCTCCTCATTTTGATGTTAATAGGTCTTTCTTTGTAGGATTCAACCTTCTCGACTGCACTTCGCAGAGGTCGTCCAATGGAAGTTCTACGTGATTCACGAGCTTTAGATGAAGGCGGTGAATATGATCCATCTACATGTGTGGGACTATTCAATGGTCTGGCCACTGGAAATGTGTCGTATTCATTCTCGAACAAGTTCTCTGCTGGTTCATGATGTTGTATTCTATAAGTGGCAGACTGTCTTCTCAAACAACGCCTAGAATATGATATTAAGTTTAGTTGTTAATACAGAAATGGAGTCAGCCAGTAGGGGTAACAGAATAAACATTGATTAGGACGATCAAGTACACGTAAAAAATTCAGAAATAAAATCCCATTTCTATAGGTGATATTTACTCTGGCACCTTAACCATGTACAAGCACAGTCATTTTCTATTGGAGTCGGCTACACAAATATTTTTTTTGCACTTTTTTTTTTTATTCATCGCTAGATTTATTGGTAGATCTTTATAGCAACCTCAATAGACCATGTAAGGTTCTGTCCATCCTTCCCTCTTCCAATATACTATAGAGAAGGCACCACTCTAATGAAAAGGAGCCTCCTCTAGGTCATTTGATGGAAAATTCAAACTTTTTAATAATTTCAACACCAATTATATCTCAGACGGTGTTGCAAAAGAGAAATTTGGGCACAATCACAACTGAAAGATGAATTACAGTGAGTTAAGTAAACAAACCTTTTAGTTCTCATTGCATCTTTCTCTCCAACTTGTTGAGATGACGTCGACTGGCCTAAAGCTGCAATTATCCATAAATTCTACTTAGTTTAATAGCTGGAAACATGATCTGACGAACTCTAAAAAAGGAACTTCCAAATCCAAAAGCCCCCCCCCCCCCCCCCTCCCCCTCAAAGAGACGAGGACCAGAAAATAACTAAAAGTAGCTGCACTGAAATATAGCATTTACATTGGCTTCTTGAGGTATGTCGTCTCCTGCTTCCATTTCCCAGTTTGTTATCCTCATTAGTTCCAGCCTCCATATCGACCATTTCCTGCTCCTTTGTATCCTTCTATATAGAACGGACAATTAGCAACAGATGCGGAGAAATGTGAATCATTCAACCCTCCAACCAAGTAGCAGCTAAAATCACTACAGAGCTCAACAAACACACCTGTAATCCATTCTTTTCAACGTTCACCTCTCTTGGCCCCTGCAAATATCAGTTCTATAACTTCAAATCGATTTCAATACTATTTTAGTGTTATAATTCTTGTGAACATTCTGTAATAATGCACTCTGATGCTGAAAACAAATTGGAAATTGACACAGTATTAGATGTGCATGCTGTAGGGTGATCCAATTGGCCAGGTAATAACACCTCACACAAGTATGGATTTTCCAGCAAATGGTTTGTTAATGTACACACATGTCAACAGATGTCAAGCAAGGTAACTACGGATTTAAGAATGTGGAAAAAGTCCTCAACAATGCCATTGAGGAAGGAGCTAAAATTAGACTTGCTATTAATCACTGAAGCTCCAATCTGCTCTATATCACAGTTCAAAAACTTATTTTCAACACGTGATCTCAACGAGAATAAAATACCATAAACTTTCGTGTACTCACATGTCATTCGTGGTAACTGGTAATAAAGAATTTCAGTTTATGAAAAGTGTTCAAGAGTGCTAATGTGGGAAGAAACTCAAAATTTAATTTAACTAACTACAAATTACTGAAGCCTCAATCTGCACTATATCACATTTCAAATACTTATTTTCAACAATTGATCTCAATGAGAATAAAATACCATAAACTTTCCTGTACACACATGTCGACATATGTCAAACGAGGTAATAAAAAATTTCAGTATATGAAAAGTCTTCAAGAATGCTAATGTGGGAAGAAACTTAAATTTGATCTAATACATGTCATTGAAGCTTAAAATTTGCTATATAACACGTTCCGAATACATGTTCGCAACAACATAACCTCAACAAGAATGACATACCATAAACTTTCGTATACCTTTGCTCAATGATTAGGATATGTAATAAATTGCAGCTATAGTACTATGAATTCAGAGCACCTAAGTACGTGATAATGGCACTGAATTAGACGTTTTAAAATTTCACACTTTGCCAAGTTTTCATTCAGAAAAAGAGCCAAAACAAACTAAAACAATTCAGAAAGCACATCAACATTATAATATAGAACTGATTATGAGTTCACCTTAAGTTCTCGATTCTTTGCTTTAAGAACAGCTTCCTTACACACTAGTTCATGTTGCAGTGTTTTCAACTGCGATGAAAATAGTAAGCTAAAATAAGAGAAACCACATGCTTAAAGCCAGTTTCAATCTACTAAGAAGATACAACTTTCCATTCTGAGTTTTAAGCTTACCCTTTCTTTACCCAAATTAAGTTCCTGCACGGATAATAGGAAAATTAAGTACCATAAGAAAGCTGTCAAATTATCCCCAAACATTACATTCGTGTATTAGGCGAAAACGAAAACCATTTACCGCTGACATATGACTATTTGATTGAGCAAGATTCCAGTTCTGCAACTGCATCTTCTGAAGACTCACTCTCAAATTCTGAATCTCTATTCCACTTAGTTCTATGATTTTACTGTTGATAAAAAAATTTTAAAAATGAGAAACTTATGGCATGTTTGGCAATGTGGATTAGATTTTACGCGAAGCAAAATTATTTAATAAGAAAAAGAAGTTAATATTTCATATGTTATGCTGTTCATACTGCCTAACTCGTTCAAATATTGCATACCATGAATAAGATACTACGGGATGCAAAAGTATTAAATAAGAAAAAGAAGGTAATATTTTTATATTATGCTGTTCATACTGCCCAACTTGCTCAAATATTGCTTAGCAAACATGCACTTCAACGTAACACACAGACACATTAAGAGGACTAAAGAAAAAGTACTTTTTGTCTTGAATAAGTTTCACCAATCCAACGTTTTCCTGTTTCAAAAATCCATAAATCACCCAAAATAATTATCAACAAGATGTTAAACCAACAGCTAATGTCTGTAAACAGAAAAATGCAGAACAAATTACCTTAACAAGATGGTCAATATAATCTTTGCCAGAAGCAGAATGTAAGGGAAACTTCTCCATAATCACAGGGGACTTGGGATTTGGCAAAGAATTAGTAATATCTGAAAGCCTCCTTCTCACCATGTTTCCAAAAGAGGATCTTTTCGCCATTCTATCCCCTTTCATAATCCTCCTTAAAAATCCCTTTCGAAAAATAAACTCAAAATTCAAAACCCTAGCAGATTATCAAGCAATGAACCCTAATTCGGACCCAAGATTTATCTCGAAGAGGAATTACACTAAAAAAACGTAAGGGTGTGTAATTCTACAAAATGGGTATCCTACTAATTACATAAAAAAAAATTTGATGAAAATAAGCAATGGCTTTCTAGTCTTGGTGATGTACGACGATTGACATATAATTGGACTCAAGAGGAACATAACATACAAAAATAAAGTAAGTGAAGATGGAAATCACCGGTGTTATGGGATGGAATCGTGGCGGAATAGGAACGATGGAAATCAAAGAAAGCTTAATAGGAAAAAGAAGAGGGCCAGAGAAGGAGAAAAGTAAAGATACGTGTGGTACGGAGCTCCAACGGCTTTCCGAGGCTAATTTTTCAAACGGCAACGCCGCTATGAACATCCTTTTTTTAAAATAGCTTATGGGAGGGATTGTTTGGATTCTTCATGCTTTTTTCTACTCGAGAGAGGTTTGAGCGCTAAATACCATTATTCCAATATCATTGTTGAAGATAAAAACAAGTTAAGAGCTTGTTTGAAAAAAATTAAAATATGATTAAAATTGAAAAATTAGCAATTATTGTTGACTTTTATTAGACGGGTGAGACTCAATAACGACTATATTTTCAATTTTAATTGGATTTTAATTCCTCTCAAACAAACTCTAAATAAGACAGTGTTTGATTTGCATCTTTTTCCATGAAACTTGGAAATTGATTTCCATATTCTTGATTTTTGTCATCTATCATATTTTAAGTGTTTTAAGTTTAATGTAAAAGATTTTAGAATCAAGAGCTAGTTTGGGAGGGATTAAAATCGGATTAAAATTGAAAAATTAGCCGTTATTGTTGACTTTTATTAGACGGGTGGGACCCAATAACGACTATATTTTCAATTTTAATTGGATTAAAATCATTCTCAAACAAGCCCTAATGCCGGAATGAGGTTGCTGCAGTTGGTTGATGTAGGATTAGGGTATGTATGGTTTTCTCCATCTTTTGACAGGTTTTTGTGCGTAGGATGACTATTGTGGTATCTTATACTTTAACATAGGAAGCACTTAAACTCTATGATTAGAGAATTGTGTTGGAGGAAACTCCTCCTTGTATCCGCTGCTTGCTACTTCGATGCTTAATTGAAATGCATTTCTTTTAAAAAATAGATAAAAATAAATTAAAGGGAAGAATTCATAAATTATGGTTTAAGTTTCAACTATTCAAAATTCAGGTTTTAAGTTTATAAAATATAAAAATCAAGTATTTAGCTAATTAATTAAAAATGCTTATTATTTAAATATTTAAATAAATTAATTTATTAAATATACATTTTACCAATTATATAGTAAGGACACATTTATATGAAATTTGGTCACAATTATCTAATTAATTAATCAAAAATTAATTTTCGGTCACAATTTATCAAATTATTGGTCACAAATTTTTTCTCGGTCACAAATCAAAAATTCTATAGGTCATAGATTACTTCTCGAACACGAATCAAAATTTCATAGGTCACATATTATTCATTGGTCACTAATTGAAAATTTTATTGGTCACAACTCATTTATTCATTGCAAATCGATCACAATTTATTAAATTATTGATCACGACTTATTTTTTGGTCACAAATCAAGAATTTTATAGATCACTGGTTATTTCTTGGTCACGAATAGATAAATCACAAATTATTCATCGATTACAAAATCAAAATTTTTATTAGTTACAGCCTAATTACAACTTAATAAACTGTGAGTCACAATCACAATTTTTTAGATCACATATTATTTATTTGTAAAAAATTAACCGATAATTGGTCACAATCAACCAAATAATTTGTCACACACACACCCACCCCACCTCATCTCAACCCACCCATGTCCACCACCGCCACAACCACCACCACCACCACCTAGCGATATCAAAAAAGCTTGGCGACTCAGGTGGCCCTAGCTCGGCCTGGAAAAAGATCGAGCCGGGCAGGCTCGTGGCTCGGGCCGAGCCCCATTTTGGGGTGTCGGCCCGAGCTTGAGCCCGAGCCAGAACCAACCCAGGCTCCTCACCGACCCGTGTCATGGGC